ATTCACATTTTTTAATTACTGGGGCCCACAAGTGGGAGTCAGAAGACAACTTGGGAAATCAGCTCTCTCCTTCTACATGTGGGTGCTGGGGATCGAACTCAGGTCAGACTTGGTGGTGAGTGCCTCTACCTGCTGAGTCATCTTTAAAAAATATTTTACTTTATGTGTGTAAATGTTTTGTCTGCATGCACATATATGTACCATGTGTGTGCCTGTTGGATCCCATGTTACTGGGGTTATAGATCCTTGTGAGCCACCATGTGGGTGCTGGCAATCAGATCCAGGTCTTCTGAAAGTGTAATAAGTGTTCTTAACTGCTGAGACATCTCTCTAGGACCCGTGTTGAGCCATCTTGCTAGCCCCCATTTTAAGATTTCTGAAGGCTTTCCTCCTGCCCTAGACACACAGGTGGCCTCCAAAGCCACAAGTTTTGTATCTGCAGATCCAAGTAGTCATGGATCAAAAATTCAGGAAGGGACTAATGAGATGGTTCAGTGGGTAAAGGCCCTTGCCACCAAGCCCGACAACCGGAGTTCAATCCCCAGAGCCCACGGAGTAGAAATAAACAAATCAGAAAAAAAAATTTTTTTTCTAGAAAGTTCCAAAAAGAAAAATTTGAATTTGCTGCACTATGAATACTAAGCTGGATCCACACAGATGGCACATTCTGCTGTGGCCTCCCACATCTTCCAGGTCCTGGCTCTCCAGTTCCCATTCTTTCAGCATTGTTTACCTGTGTCTTATGTAAGAGCTATTGTTCGGCTATGACAGCTGCATACACCAAAGATGTGTGCACTTTTTTCTTGTAATTATTCCCTAAATAAGTGGCCGCACACTATTCACATAACACTTCCATGGCATTAGATGTTGTGAGTTATGTAGAGATGAAAGTGCACAAGAAGGTAAGTGAGGGTTCTGTGCAAATATTAGACCATTTTATTGAAGGAATGTAACATCTATGGATCTGAGTGTCCTTATGGAGTCCTGAATCAATCCCCCCATGGGAACTGAGGAATGACTACAGATGTTCCTAAAATGCAGCAAAACCATAGGGAAAACAATCCTAACCACAAGGAATAGAGGACCCTAACCACACGGAAGGGGGATCCTAACCACAGGGAAGGGGAGACCCTAACCACAGGGGAGGGGGGACCCTAAACACAGGGAAGGGGGGCCCTAACCACAGGGAAGGGGGATCCTAACCACAGGGAATAGAGGACCCTAACCACACGGAAGGGGGATCCTAACCACAGGGAATAGAGGACCCTAACCACAGGGAAGGGGGGACCCTAACCACAGGAAGGGGACCCTGAGAAGAGCTGAGCTTTCCAACAGAGGGACAAGCTCCTGGTTTTCTCTGTCATTCCAGATGTGTAGATCTCCACAGGCTGCCATGAAGCCAGAGCAGACAGAAGCAAAGGAACTAAGCACCAGACAACAAGGTCCCTGTTCTCCTCCAACATCCTAATTAGCAACCAGCTCAGGTTAGAGAACCTCTGGGGACTCTAACCCCACAGTCACACGCTTGACTCTGCCACACAGTCCCACTCTGTATGAGCATGTGTTACAAGGTTACCTGGAGCTGCTAGGTGTGGACCGCGGGTCTCTGTTCCAACCCCATTAGGACCTCCAAGCAGCAAGAGTAAGTCTCAAGCCCCAAATGCGGAATGACTTTCTAACACCGTGAGAAGGGCATGGCAGTGACCCAGCTCTTACTGAGGTGTTAAGCTAGGGCTGGCCTGGCCCCAAGGAAAACTGTGGAGTCAGTAGCTTTGGTTTTTGGACATCTCCACCCTCACCTTTCTGCATCTCTTCACTTCCTGCCACACCCCTTCCAGCATTCCAAGTCCCTTCACTATGTCAAGGTTTGCTCAATGAGAGTGAGCCATTTATTGAAGTAGAAGTCCTGGCTGGGTGTGGTGAGGCACACCTGGAGTCTTAGCATCAGGGAGGCTGAGGCAGGAGAATCAGAAGACCATTCTGGGCCTATATAAAGCAAGACTGCCTCAGAACTCCATATACAGTGGCTGAGCACTTCCTAGAATGCATGGCATCCTGGGTTCAAGCCCCAGCACCAGAAAAGCCTCCTGCTCTGGGGAACAACATTCCCAGGAGCAAAGCGGCAGAAGTGGTCATTTTTATTCCTTTTCCAATGGCTATACTAAGTACTTAAAGACCAATTTGCATATATACATATATATATATATATATATATATATATTCTTTGAGAATTCCATACATGTATACTGTCTTATTTAGGGTTTCTATTGCTGCGATGAAACATCATGCCTAAAAAGTAAGTTAGGGAGGAAAGGGTTTATTTGGCTTATATTTCCACAGCACTGTTCATCACAGAAGGAAGTCAGGACAGGAACTCAAACAGGACAGGAACTTCGAGGCAGGAGCTGATGCAAAAGCCATGGTGTGTTGCTTGCTGGCTTGCTCAACCTGCTTGCTTATAGAACCCAGGACCACCACCCCAGGGATAGCACCACCCACAATGGGCTGGGCCCTCCCCCATCAATCACTAAGAAAATGTCCTACAGCTTGCCTTCAGCCCAATCTTATGGAGACATTTTCTTAATTGAGGTTCCCTCCTCTCAGATGACTTTGTCTCGTGTCAAGTTGACATAAAACTGTCCAGCACATATACAATGTATTTTGATAATATTCACTACCCACTCCTCCCCCTTAATTCCTCCAAGATCTGCCCTGTTTTTAAGTACCAAATTCCCATGGGTGCTGTTTTTAAGTACCAAATTATGCTCTTGAACACTTATCCATTTACTTTTTTCAGGGAGACATGCATTCTAGTCTGGCCTTGAACTCTATGGAACCAAGAATACTTTCAACTTCTTATCCTCCTGCCTTCACCTCCCAAACGTTGAGATTACAGGTGTACACCACCATGCCTGGCTTATCCAGTGAGAAAGCAAACCCAGGACTTCCTGCATACTAGGCAAGATCTCCACCAACTGAGCTACATCACTAGCTCACACTGCATTTGGGAAGTGACACTGTGTGGGGAAATTGCCATAGATTCCTAGACTTCTTCAGACACAGCAACATCAGCAGTGTTTCCCAAATGTCAAGTCTTGAACTTTCCCAGGCATCACCTTTGACCTACACACTCTCCTCATTCAGATGAAGGGCTGAGTTCACCCGCTCACTACTTGATGGACTTTAATCTCCTGGCCAATCCCATTATGGAGAAGAGCTATAACCAGGCGAGAAATGATGCCCAATGCTTATGAGCTTATGAGCTCAGTTCAGACATCTGGGACCCACTCACAACCTTCTGGGCTCCAAGAGACCTAGGCAGGTCCGCTTCTCCGGCTCTCCCATCCACAGCACACATAGCTCGGGTCAGCTCAGGTACTCCACACCTGCTGCTAATGGTGATCATCTGACAGTACTCCAAACGTTGGAAGTTTCCACTGCACTTGTGGGGGGGGGGGGGGAGGGAAACCTTAAATAACCTCCTATAGCTTATAAGTCCATCATCCAAAAAGTCAAGGCAAGCCTCGAGGCAGGAACTGGAGCAGAAGAATGATACTGACATGTTCCTCATGGCTTGCTCAGTCAGGATTACCAGCCCAGGTGTGGCTGTGAGATGGACCCCCTACATCAATCATCAATCAAGAAAATGCCTTACAGGCTTGCCCACAGGCCAACCTGGTGGGGGCATGTTTTCAAAGAGGGCATTTCCCTCTTCCCAAATGACTGTAGCTGTGTCAAGTTGCCATAAAACTAGCCAACACAGTTTCCTCCTTCCACGCCTGAAATCATAGGTGGGCCACCAAGCTATGACAGTTATATAGGTTCTAGAAAATTCAAGTTCCTATCCTCATGCTTTTGTGGCCATCAATTTATCCACTAAACCATCTCCCCCGCCCTCTTCACTTCTTTTTAAGGGGGGGGGGGGAGGGTTTTGAGACAGCGTTTCTCTGTGTAGTTTTGGTGCCTGTCCTGGATCTCACTCTGTAGACCAGGCTGGCCTCGAACTCACAGAGATCCACCTGGCTCTGTCTCCCTAGTGCTGGGATTAAAGGCGTGTGCCACCACCACCCAGTCTTCACTTCTTTTTTTAATAAGCATTCACTGGTGCTAAATTAATAACCTGTATTACAGTTCACTTAATCCTGTCATATAATTATCAAACTGGCAAAAACTCAGACATACTAACCTCATAAACACAAACTTCCAAATAGTTTTGACAGTCCTGATGTGCCCGCCACATGCTAAATGTGTGATTTCCTGAGGCATCATTCTCATAATCGAAAACCTCAAAAATATTTCAGTAGGAATTTATTTAGTGAGTGAAATGAAAATTTTCTTGTGGATTTTTTGTTTGTAAAACAAGAGATTTAAAAGCCACACCATCCTTGGAGGAAGATGGTGTGGAAGGAAGAACGGAAGGAAGCTTGGAGCCATGTTCTTTTTCCTAATGACTTTTTGAGATTTTATTTTTATATTATGTGTATGAGTGCCCGAATGTCTGTGCATGTGTATGCAGTTCCCGTGGAGGCCAGAAGAGGGCACTGGATCCTCTGGAACTAGTTACAGATGGTTGTGAGCCACTATGTGGGTGCTGGGAATTGAACCCTGGTCCTCTGGAAGAACAGTCGGTGCTATAATCATTGAGCCATCTTTACAGCCTGTCTTCCCTAATAACTTTTGGCAGAAAAATCTGAGCAGATCAACAGGCTAACCAAGTACTCTAGAAGAAACAAAGAACAATGTGAATGCCCCCAAATTTAAAATGCTCCAAAATCTGAGTTTTTGAACAATGGCATGATGATCAAAAATTTCCAATTATGAATCAGAATGCTCAACCAGTAAAGCCTATGTAAAAAAATGCAAAATCAAAAAACCCTACATTTCTGGTCCCAAGTATTTTAGATAACAGATATTCAATCTCTATTTCATGTCTTGTTTGTTAAGAAGCCGTTTTCTTGTACATATAGCCTGCCTGTATTTAAAGAGCCATTAAAGGCAACTGAACCATTTTGCTACCTTTATTCTTTAGTAATTAAGATTCCTTAATAAGGAAAATTGAAAAGTATAGAGAATTGGTTTATACAGATTGAGGAAAAATCCCATTTCTTCCTATTCATGTACATACAAAATCCCCACATACAGAATTTACTTTATTACTATACACACACACACACACACACACACACACACACACACACACACACACACACACACACACAGTAGATTATAGATAGTATGGGGGGGGAGGAACAGGCATGTGCCATAGCACACGTGCAGAGGTCAGAGAGCAACTTTTGGGAGTCAGTTCTTCCCTTCCAGTGTGGGATCCAGGGATTAAACTAGGTTGTCAGGTTTGCCAAGCAGAGTCTTGTCCACCGAGCCCTCCAGCACCACATACGGAATTTCAATGTTAATAGAGACGAACCAGCCCAGCACACGGGAAATAACATTTTGACACGTACTCAACTAACAAGTTACTGTTACTTCACTGTCTTCTAAGTGTCTTCTCCACAGCTACGCTCTCAGTGCTCTGCAGCCCCTGAACAGCGCGGCCCCCCAACAACGCGGCCCCCGAACAGCGCGGCCCCAGAACAGTGTGGCCCCCCGAACAGTGCGGCCCCTAAGCCGTTCTCTATTCAGTCTTGATTGGATAGCTGAGAAAGGAAACCAAGGTCCAGCAAGATGAAGTATCAGCAAGTGAACAGCACGCTACACCGTCAGTCTCCGGCCCTTCAGGGGTGTGTTTCTGTAAACATCTTACTGGATGTGCATCATTTCCAAGGGAAAAACCCACTTCTGTTGTTGTGGTTTTGAGACAAGGTCTGATCTTGGCTAACCACCAACATGCCCTGCCTCTGTCCCCTAAGTGCTGAGATTGAGGTATGCTCTATCACACTTGACTTAATTTTTGGTTAGCTACGACTTCTGCAAAGTATATACTGAGGAGCAAGTTTGTCAGGGGCTCCAAGCACCAAATGTGCCATTATCAGGCCAGTTAGTCTGTAGGGAAAAGAGATGAACTTGGCTATGAACTTGGGCGCCCTCTGTGTATGTAGTACAGCTCTCCCACTTAGCACATCTGCTGCCAATCATGCCGGTAAAACATCAGAACTCAAGAACATGTCTCCCTCTAGTGGAACAAAATGACTTCGAGGACAATTAACAGTATTCCACGGCAAAACAGCATGCTAAAGGCTGCCTAGTGATTCATGTAATAGCAAACCTGACTTATGTGCTGGCCTGCACTTTAAACCCCTTTATTTTAGTTCTAATAAACAAGAAGTGGTTCCAACTTGGCCCTTTGGTGTTTAAAACAGTCTTTTCAAAAACACTGATCTGGTCTTTGAGTTCAAGGCCAGTCAGGACAACACAGTGAGACTGTCTCAGGAACAAATTCATTACACCAATCTGATAAATTTTAAAACAATTTTAGGTCAGGGATGGTCTCAGTTTATCTAGTGTATGCACAGCCTGTGGGAAGTCTGGGGTTTAATCCCAGCACTGTATATAACAGGATGTCAGAACATGGTCCAAGAATGGAGTCATTTGAGATTTCTGAGTGCTTGTGAAAAAAACTCCAAGAAACGAGACAAGAGTCTTGTGACCTCAGTTTCTTCAAAACATGGAATTGTTCTTGTATTGTGCTTTTGGGTGTCCCTCCCAGGTGTAGTGAATAGAAGAGTGTGCTTCAGATTGTCACAGCTGGCTATTGTTACTTGTTTCTCCACCTCTGTAGAAACTACTCACATGACTCCTCTTACCCCTCAGAGTGTAAAGTTGGCTACCGCATGAGACTTTAGTCCACCTCATTTATTGGCTCCATTCTCCCAGGTCTCATAGCCTCTAGAGTGGCAAACGGTGTGGTGTCACACTTACACTCCTAGCACTTGGGAAAGAAACAAAAGCGTAAGGATCAGATTACACAGGGAGTCTGAAGCCAGCCTGGGCTACATGAGACACTGCAAGTAAATGAATTTTAGATGATGTTTTTGTGATCATTTGGTCCAAATACCACAATTTACACACGAGGACTTCTTTTCCAAAGGGAAGTGACTTCCCAGTGTCATAGCAGGTTATCAGAACAAGGAAGGGACCTTAAGGCTAGAGTTGGCACCCCACCCTTCATAAAGCCTCAACATTGTTCCATGCCAAGGCATCAGAATATGGACTGGGCTGCCCCACTCCCGTCTACATATGTACATGGATTAAGAGAACTAACCTTTTAGGTTGAGCACTTTCCATGGTAGCCAAATGGCCTTATGGCAAGCTTGAGGGGTGCATGCTGACCACATCAATTCCTAATTTCCATCTTTATGAATAAGAGGCATGTGTGATATCCGTGCCTTTGCTTAGTTGACAGAACATCATCAATTAAACATCTACTGAGTTGACTATGTCTCAGCACATGATAGGTGCTGGGATACAAAACAACAAAGACAAATCCCTACCCTTGTGAGGTTATATTCTGGTCTGGGGTTATATGTGTAAGTAAATTCAATATGCAAGGTACTTGGTCATTGGTAGTTACAGAAAAATAACAAAGGAAGAATGATGATGAAAGTCTGCAGGAGCACAGGGACATAGAAGATAGTACCAAACCAAATGGATAAGACAAACCACACTGAGTCTGTGACTACATAGCCCTGGCTGGCCTTGAACACACCTGCCTCTGCCTCCCCAGTGTTGAGACTAAAATAGTGTGTCACCATGACTGGTCAACACTGTTTTAAAAGTGAAGATCTGGGTAAAACTGAAAGTGCTATCTGCATTTTTGAATATACAAGTTCCCTAGCTCTGTCCATAAGTGGAGTCTGGATTTCATAACACAAAGGGTATGTGTTAGGTTTCTTGTGACTGTGTAAAATGCCAGATAGAAACAGTGGTAACAATGGCAGTGAGTACCTATAGTGCATGTACCTGAGCTAAAGATGGGTGGTAAAGGAGGAAAGAGAGCAAAGAAACAAACATTCATTCTGGCTTGTGACGCCTGTGCTGAGACAGTACATTACGGCAGTGGTGAAGGAAAGCTGCTTGTATTACTGTGGCCAGGAAGCAGAGGAAAGCACCAGGATCCAATATTCCAGCAAGAACACCCCCAATGACCTGAGCCCCCTCCCTAGTTCTACCCTTACTCAGCACTATCGCTACCAACTTGGGACCAAGCTTTTAACATATGGCCTTTGGGGGACATCTAGGCTCTAACTCCACTTCTAGCATCCTAACCAAGCTCCCAGCATCTTTCACCTGGGCTGACAACAAGCACAGCCAATCATCTTCCATCTCTGCCTCAATTCTCCAGCTGCCAGAGCGAAGCTTTCAAAACACAAGCATGACCCTGTCACTCCTCTGCTAAAAACTCCATGAGCAGTACACCATCAGATCTCATGACTTCCCCTTTGATTCTGATGCTGCAGCCGCTTCTGATCACTGCAGACATTCTTTCGCTTCAGGGCCCTTCCCATGGCTGTTCGCATCGCTTGGAGTACTCTTCCTTCAGATGTACTGACTTGGCTTTGTTGTCTGCATCTTTAAGTAGCCCAGGCTGGAAGCTCAGTGCGACTCAGCTTCCAGCATTTTGTCAGGTATCTCACTGTGTGGCCTGTGTCTCCCCAGGCATTCTCTTTACTCAGCATTATTTCTCTATATAATTTGTAACCTAAGGGAAGAATGCTATTTATTTTGTTTAATGTTTCATTTCCCTATGAGAATGCAAACTATTCAAAAGTAATTTTGTTTTGTTCACTGCTATATCCCAGTACCTAAAATACCTAAATGTTTGAACATGACAAATGGCCGGATGTGAAATGGCTTCTGAACTGAGAGGTCTAGCTGGAAAGGCATTCTAAAGACAAGAGGGATCACATGACAAACAAGCACAAGAACACACAAGAACAGAGCTGCCATGAATGGCAACACCACGGCCAGATGGAACTCCAGGCTATAAGCCACAGCTTGATAATCAGTTGATTTCAGATGTGTCTTTGGCATGTACAAAGAAAACCAATTCCCAAGTCTGTCCGAGTGCCTTTATGATCACCTTTATAAAGGCTGTGGATGTTCATCACATTTAAATATTTATGATACTTCTGAAAAAGTTTGTGGAAGAAAATATATAAAAATAAAATGTACCAAGTTCTTCATTAAAATAGTACTTTAATAAATCCATTAAAAGCAGGGCAGTGACTGGATCCCGGTATTACTGGCTTTGGGCTTTCAAGGCAGTCCATGACCACACCCAGTCTTCCCCAACAGTGAGATGGAGAAGACTAAGATGTAGTCAAGCAGCCATCCTCGTAGCGACAACTTCTACTTGAGGTTCACAAAGGAGCTGAGGACGGACGTCCACAACATGGTTCTGCATTCTATTTGCCTTTTTTGGCCTTGGCTGTTTTTTCCTTTCTTTTTTTCACATGTTTAGGGATTTTATTTTTCCTCTTCTCTCTCTGGGCTTCCTTGACCATCTTTTTTCTTTCCTGTAAAAAGCAAACACCACAACCCCAACAAATTTCATTCATTCAGAGTATTCAAACTGTTATTAGAATTAAATTAAAATTCTTACGTTAACAGGATAAAAGTAAATGTAGCATAAAAACGTAACAATTACAGGTTAGTGAAACTCGGGGGTACAACTTTTCTTTGAGGCTCCCTGTCTCACTTCTTCCCATCCCCACCCCAATACCCCTGCCTTCTTCCATCCCTCAAGAGGGTCTCACTTGGTTGTCCAGAGTGTTCTTGGTCCCCCACCCTAACCCCAGCCCATCTACCACTAAACTACATCCTGACCCTTGAACTTTGCTGAAACTGCGAAGAGTCCAAATCAATATCCCTGTATGTTACTTGATGTTTACAAACTCCCTATTTTAAGAAAAATAAAGATTAGAAAGAAACAAATATTTGCTTCTAGTAGGCAGACATAACCTGTTCTCTGTGCAATATTGAAGAAGCTCCTAATAGCAGCCAAGTCTCTAATATACTCCAAAAGTAAAGTTCACATTTAGTTATGGAAACTACAATTAAAGGCACTTATTGACGCCTGCAGTGGTAACCCACGCCTTTAATTCCAACATTTGGAAGGCAGAGGCAGGTGGATCTCTGTGAGTTCAAGGCCAGCCTGTTCTACAGAGTGAGTTCAAGGACATCCTGGGCCACACAGAGAAACCCTGTTTCAAAAAAAAAAAGCCAAACAAGAGTAAAAAAGGCATTATCGATGCTTCAGAGCTACCACACTCAAGAGAAATAAAGATCTCGGCTAACCTTTTTATCAAGGTCAGGGTCAGCAGTGTGTCTTTTGCACTGGGCATTCTCTCCCTGCTCTTCAGAGTCTGTGTCAGAGCACTCGGAACTTTCAGCCTCTTCTGAATCCAAACAAGTCTTTTCCTTAACTTCACGTTCTAGGAGTGCAGGGACCTTGAAGTTATTACAGAACCATGTTACTTGAAGCCAATTACTTATCTATTTGTTAGTCAACATGTCAATGCCACCATTTTATATCAGCATGCCAGACACATGTTAAAGTCATGCACTGAAACATCAAGACAGCAGAATCAACATTAGAGGGAAAGATGGACAGCATCCATTCACACCAGGAGGACTCAAGAACATGCGCAGATAAAGGAACCAGCACAGGTGTTCAATCTTTTGACACTACCACATGATGCTGTCATCTAGCTATAGTCACAGCTAGCCTGGCACACGTGTGGTCCATTGCCAAAGGCTGGGCACATGCCTGATTACTAGGGTTATCTGGGTGACCTAAAACAACAACGTAAGTCTGCAGCTACTTTTAGCAAGCCAAATGGTTGGGATGGGATTTGGAAAGGATGTGAAATACAGAGGCAAATAATAATAATAATGGTGATGATGATGAAAACAACAACAATAATAAAGATCTACTTCAGTGACTTCACAACTTTTTCTATGAAATGAACAGTCAACCAAGAGAAAGTTTCATTTTCCCTGAAATTTACTACATTTACTTAACTTTTTTTTCTTTTTTGAAACAGAATCTCATTACATAGTCCAGGCTGACCTTGAACTTTTCATTTTCTTGTCTTACAGGTAAGTGGGTTGAGTGATGGTAGCTGAACTAGGGCCTCTGGAAGAGCAGCAAGAGCTCTTAACCACTGAGCCATCTCTCCAGCCCTGACATTTTTCAAAACTGATTGTAAAACTACCAAAAACAGGGTATGGCTATCAGTAATACCCCAGACCAATGCAGATCAGAATTAAAGACAAATATTTCACTTTTAACAGAATTCAGGGACAGAAAAAAATAGGTTCATTTCCAAATTTAATTCTAATACTACTTTACACTAAGTTTTACATCTTTTAAAAACAGTTTCCACAGGCTGGCAAGATGGCTCATCAGACAGACTGACAATCTAAGTTGGATCCCAAAGACCTAAGAGGTGTAGAGAGTCAACTCCCCAAAGCTGTCTTCTGGTAACCCACCATACATGTGCTATGGCACACTTATGAGTACACACACAAAAATAATAAATGTGTTATATATAAAGCAATAGTAACACATGTTCTCCATACCTTCTGGACACCTGACAAATCTTTTTTCAATCCCGTGACAGTCTGGTATAGAATCTTGTAACAAAAAGGAGAAAGAAAAAATATAAAAATTAACAATGATACGTACATACTACACCACTGAACACTGGACTAACCACTGTGATTCTGAGAATGTACTCAAAATCTATCACACAGTAACACAGAAAGTAGCTTGCGCTGTTCTTATGTGCCAGGTATGCATGCCCAGGCCCAGCACAATCAAAGCCTGATAGTGTTCAGATGAGCTTGTAACCCACCAGGTGACAGCAAATACTAACTTTGCACTTTTTCAGTGCAATGTTACCCAGTCCACAAACAATCCTATTCTGCCCTCATCAGTAGACTGACATGGCAAAAGTTGTAGTTATGACTGAAAGTGCTTCAAGGGGCAGCTCAGTGATAAAGAGTACACGCTGCTCAATCACGAGGACCAGAGTCAGGATCCCAGCACTGATATCTGATGACTCAGAAAGCTCCCAGGGCCCAACAACCTTTTTTGGCCTGGGGGCACATACACAAATGTGTACATGCGATCACACAGACACATATAATTAATAAATCTTTTTTGTTGTTGTTGTTAAAGTGTGTTAGACCAGAGAGCTAGCTCAGCAGATAAAGGCACTTGCCATGACATCCTGCCTACAATCCTCCGAAGCCAAACAAAGGTGGAGACAGGGACTCGACAGAGCTGTCCTCCGGCCTTCCTACAGGCACCGCGGCACGCGTGCTCTCACGCACACATCTAACACACATAGCAAGAATTTTTGTAAATGCTTTTGTTTTTCGTGCATGAAAATCTGGAGGCCATTTCTTCTATCTTTCTAAAAACTTACATAAACACCTAAGTTTTTCTACATGGCTGCAAAGCCTCAGGGTTTGTTTACTTTCTGGTCCGTTAACAAACAATTATTCCAAGGGGACTGGAGATGCACAGTGGCTATGAACTTGTTCTGCTCTTGCTGAGGACCTGTGTGGGAGGCTTACAATCCCCTCTTAACTCCAGCTCCAGGGCGACTTAACACCTCTGGCTTCCAAGGACACCCAAATTCACGCATGTGCACATACTACCCCCCACACATACACACATGACTAAAAATGATATAAATATTTTAAACATTTCTTCAAATGTGTGTGGAAATGAAGCATAGCTTATCAATCTACTACAACCACTTTTATCCTAGACTTCTTTGTGAATCTGCTTTTTTACAAATTATAGTTCTCTGAACACATGCAAATGCATCACTCCCCCCACTTAAATCCAGAAGTATTCCCTTTACAGCCACCATGTATGGAAGCATGTTTATACAAAGGGAGTTGACCATCTCACTAGCACCAAGCCAGGATTAAGCTCAGGACAGTCTCTTTTGTTAGGACTGGCTCTGTAGTCAAACCAAGCTACTCACATTATCTTGTTGAGTATTCAAAGCCATGTCTTCTTCCTTCAACCTCATCATTATATCCACATCTCTCTCATAATTTTTCACTTCATTCAAGGTTCTGGGAATGTATGCTTGTTTGAACACCTAACAGAAGAAAGCAAAATTAAACTATTTTTCCCATTCCCCTCCATCCCTTCAGTAGCCTTAGCTCTATTAATCATGCAGAAATCTGTATTAGCATTTCCAACACTGACTTTCAGTCAACTTGTGTACCCACTGGTGTTGTCTCTGCTATGTGGTAAGCTAAAAATTTGATAAGATAAAAATAAAATTTTACAACTGATTTAAGGAAGAAAAGAGTCTATTCCAGATGATCCTTAGAATAACACTCCTCCCGTACATTTTCAATTTCAAAAAGCATCTTCCAAGAGGAAGGACAGGATGGAGTTATAGTTAGCAAAGATTGTTTGTCTGTAAGCAATTGAACACATACATATATTCTTACCATGTAGAACATTACCACCCAGCTGCTACAAAACTTCTGATCAGAATAAACTACAATAATAATAAATACAGTAATAATAAGCTTACTGTGGACCTTAATAAAGATGTCTTGACTTCTTAGGACTAGTTTGATTTTATTTTTTAACAAAGTATCAATATTTAAAGTCTGTTATATTTATAGAATCAGTACATAGGTCATTTAAAAATTTATACTTGAAAATTAAGTCTTTTCCTTCTTGACTCACACACCCCACAAGCTCTTTCAAAACTACCTTAAAAATAGGCAAAGAGGCCGGGCGGTGGTGGCGCACGCCTTTAATCCCAGCACTCGGGAGGCAGAGCCAGGCGGATCTCTGTGAGTTCGAGGCCAGCCTGGGCTACCAAGTGAGTTCCAGGAAAGGCGCAAAGCTACACAGAGAAACCCTGTCTCGAAAAAACCAAAAAAAAAAACAAACAAAAAAAAAATAGGCAAAGAGGTTGCTGAGTAACAATATAACTGAATGTAAATTATATTCCATGTATCTATAAAATCAAGTTCATGCTTTACCAACAAAAACAAAACCAGGAAAGACCCTGTAACACCAGAATTAGTTGGGAATGGTGGCACACACCTGTTATTCTAGCAATCAGGCAGCCGAAGCAGAATGAGTGTGACTTTGAGGCTGGGTTATTTATACTACATATCAAGTTTTAGAACAGCCTGATTTATATGAAAAGACCCTGTCTCAAACACACGACAGAACACCCCACAGTCCCACAGCAAACCCCACAAGTACTCCCCACAGCTGTGAATACATAATAACCCCCACCTCTTCATCCACATGATCCTGACTAGTCTTTTCTTCCTTGGTCCTTTGGGATGCTATTTCCATGGCCTTTGAGAGAAATCAAAAAATCAGTTTCTTTACATTCACCCTAGAAAAGACACAGTTTCTATTTTGTAAGGAATTTTTTTTTTTATCTTAATAGGTGTCATGTCTTCACACTTCTCAAAGTACCTAGAATGAGCATCTACAATGTAGGTTGGCTCTCCACCAAAGACTTGTCAGTCACTTAAAAAGAAACAATAAATCCTTCTAGTCTCAAGGTACCTTTAGTCCCCTTCTTCCAGATCAACACTGGGGTGCAGCTCAGTGGTGGAACACTGGCCTGGGCTATCCAAAGCTCCACATTCCAGCACCAGCATCACACTCACAGCCAGACCCAACTCATGGTGTCTCTCTTCACAGCTATAGAAACCCTAAATAAAACAACATGTAGTTGCCTAGTACATAGTCAGGTATTGACAACATACAAATGAAATGTCTGTCCCTCAACGGTTCATAATCTGTCAAACACGGTGGTGCACAGCTAGGACCCCGGCATTCAGCAGGCAGCAGCAGGAAGAGCATGAGGTCAGGTCAGCCTGGGCGACAGAGAAGACCTAGCCCAAAGAAACAAACACCCCAAAAAGAGACCAAGCCAACCTGCCTTTTTAAATGGTTGCTACCTTTTAAGTCATAGCTGTCTGAATCAGCAACCGCAACTCTGCTGCTGCCAGCAGTGGTCAGGCCGCCAGGGCTGAAGCCAGAGGAGTTCCATTCCCTCCGGCTCCAACTCTTGCAAAGCTACGAAGGGAACTTAACTAGACCTCTGTCCCTCTAAAGAACTCAAGATTCAAAGGTTAAAGTGGAATTCTGCTCTTCAGAAAGGCTGAACAAGTAGCTCACCTCCTCGCCTTGATCATGTCCTCCAAAAAGCGCCAATGCGTCTCCTTGGCCCTCTTTATAAACCCTTTCTCACCTGGCTCCTCCCTACCACTTCCTGTCAGCTAGTTGCTGACGCAGACTCTTGACCGCAGGTGAATTTTATTTAATCAAACACATCTGTGCATCATTAAACATAAACGGTTCCAGAGCATAAACAAAAGTAACACACCTTGAAATAATATCCTACAACACCAACCAACCAAATAAACGGGCTGGAGATGTACTCAGCTAAGAAGGCCAGCACAGCATGCACCAGGCCCTTGCTTTGATCCCAGCACTATAGAAACTGGTGTAGAGGTGCACACTTAAAATCTCAGAACTCAGCAGACAGAGGCAGGAGAATCACACATTCAAATTTATCCTTGGCTATACAGTTTGAGGGGGCCTGGGATACAGGAAATACTGACTCAAAAAAAAATTTAAGAGAAAACAATACCCCTGAAAACAGTGTTTCTCCCGAATTTTCTCTTGAGACAGGTTTCTGACCTGGGTTTTAAATTTCACCAGGCAGAGCAGGATGAACAAAGGCTAAGATAGAAAGGCATTCCAGGGGGAAGCGGAAATATGAAAACCCTTACCTGACTCAGAAGTGACAAGAGTAACAAGAGATAAATGGACTATATCAAATATAAAACTTCTGTTTGGGGGCCAAAGGGTGCACTCAACAAGAGGGGAAAAGGCAATGCCCAGGCTGAAGAAACAGCGCCGCTCAGGACTGACGAAAAGTGAGCAGCCGGGGTTCACATAGGACAAATGGCCTGCTTCAAACAGAGTCTAGTCAGGCGTTTCTCCAAGAGAAACATGAGAAGGTGTTTAGTGTCACTCATTATCAGAGGAACACTCAGCACACTCATACCAATTACACCTTACACCCATTCGGACGGCTCCCCAATGGGAGGGTATCAGTGCGGACCAGGATACAGAGAAACTGCAAGTCCTGCGGTGTCAGCAGAACTAACTGCAAAACAGTACAGTCAACAGGCCCCAAACTTGGAGAGATAGTTATATGCTCATATTCTCTCCGGTATTAGTCATGATAACCGAATCATGTGGAAGAGAGCCCGAATGTCCACTGACAGATGAGACCATAGACAAAGTATGGTCCATACAAATGGACTATTACCCTTAAACAAGGAAGGAAATCCTGTCACACGCTAGAACATAGATGAGCACTGAACACGACGAGCAAAATAAGCCACAAAGGTCGAACAAGGAGCTGAGGGATGTCTCAATAGTTAAGAGTGCTTGCATCTCTTCCAGAGGACCCGAGTTTGGTTCCCAGCACTCAATTCAGGTGGCTCATAACCACCGGTAAGTCTAGCTCCAGGGGATCCAATACCTTCTTCTGGCCTCCTTGGGCATCTGCACACATAGCACACAGTCCCAGAAACACACATATATACAAGTAAATAAAAAATGAAAAACTTTAAACATTCATGGAAGTTGAATTCTGTAATCTTGCCAGTTGAGTAAGGTCAAGAAAGCTGGCTTTCCTGACATCTTTGCTGTTTCTAATTTCACTGTGAAATGAGAAGTGCTAAGCGACTACGGAAATGAATAATTACACTAGGCAACCCAAGTCCCCCAGATGTACACACAAGGCAATTTATACTTATTCTTCAGCCCATCTTACCTTTTCGAGATAAGCATCCATGTTCTCAGGGGTGATGGAAGGATCCGTGACAAACTCGAAGAGCTCCCGAACGGTCATCACAGCAACAGCATGCTTGAAAAAGAAATCTGTCAAAGGAAAACCATTAATGACAGCTCTACAAGGGGAACCTACAACTCCAACCAGGAAACAGAAAAAGAAGGAAAAATGCACCATCTCCAGCCAACGGTTTAAGTGGCACTGTACTGGGCAATTAAACGAGACTTGTTTGTCGGTGCTGGCAGTCAAATGCAAGGTCTTCCGGGTGAGAGGCAAACATAGTGTTCTAATGCCAGACTACATTCCCACTCCCAGTGACGAGACCTTATCCTATGCATGCAGAAACGCTGTCAGGAAATGCCACTTTCTACTCACCATTGACATTAGCACAGTCTTTTCTCAAGAACTCCAGTGCGTGTGGGTGATCATGCTCCACAGACTGAGAAACATCAATGATGTACACATCTCCACCATGGTACCTTGTGGACAATGAACACAGAGGTTAGAAGTTACTACTAGACTCTTGTTTGTTTTTCCATCTATTCTGAAGCTGGCTGTGGTGGCACACACCAGCAGGATTTGCTGAAGGGGGCAAAGGTGGGAGGACCAGGCCAAAATTCAAGGCCAGCCTGGGCTACACATTTTTAGCTTGGGTGCAGTGGCATACGCCTTTAATCCCAGACACTCGTGAGGCAAGGCGAGTGGATCTCTTTGAGTTTGAGGCCAGCCTGATCTACAAAGTGAGTTCTAGAACAGTCAAGCTATGTAGAGAGACCCTGTGTCCAAAAAAAGCCAAACAAAAAAATAAACAAAAATCTATTCTGTTCTTTGTTTTGAATAGGGTCTCTCTATGTAGCACAAGCTAGCCTCAAATTCTTAATCTTGCCTCAGCTTCCTAAGTGCTGAGATTCCAGGTATGCCTCTACCTGGCTTAAAAGAAAAAAAATTCACCTTAAGTAATTCATAAATGACTACAGCAGGTAAGAAAGGGCTATCTTGACTAATAAAAAGGTAAAACTGAGAAAATTTCAAAGCTCATTAAGTCAGCTAAAAATGCACCCGTCCCCTGAGACCACGAGGGGCTGGGGCTGGAATCCACAGGCTCACATACACATACTAGGCACTTGTTCTACCAACCAAGCTACAACCTCAGTCCTTCACAGTGGTCTATTCAGTGACTAAGGTCACTGAAGGCAGTGACCACATCTTACCTCCTACCATGGGGAAGCCAACAGAAAACAGTATGACTTTATAGATTTGGATTTTTTAAAGGACATAAAATAATAAAAGGGCATTTTCCAGGAAACAAATCACTCACAGCATGTTGAATTCACTGAGATCTGCATGGACAAGTCTAGCATCCTGATACATTTTCCTCATGTACTGAATGACCTGCAGGTACAACTCCCGTGCCTTCGATTCTGACAACTGGACATTTTTCAAAAGTGGTGCGGGCCTTGAATAAATAAGAACGGCAATAAAATTATCAAGTTTTCTTGCCTCATTCTACAGTTACATGCACCTCTCTTCTGTCATTTGTCATGTGAACTGACTATGGGATAATGGATGCCACTCCAAAACGCTGACAATTACAGGTACTTTCCAGAGCTTTAAGAAATTAAACATTCCTCAAAAACAAGGTTAACTTTGTTATTCTGAAGCACCATGAAACTTCTCAATGGTAAACCATAACAGTTATGCACTAACACAGTAGGAAAGACTCACGAAAGGAACTATGGGAAATACTTACCTAGTACATAGCTCACTGGACTTAAGATACAGTTTCACCATGAAATCTTTTGACCTTCCATATACTTACATGTCATCTCTGCCAATGAAGCCCATGAGAAGAACATGACTTTTTAGCCGGATTGGTTTTGGACATGGTATGTTTGCTGTACTTAGCCTGTGATGTAGATAAAAGGACAATTGGAAGTCAAGAGACATATAAACAAATTATGAATACTGCTGTTAGGAAACAGTACCAAGTCCTCTCAACTATATTGCTTTTCCTAAACCAGTGGTTTTAAGTGGCACTAGTATGTACCACCAAGAACATCAAAACTCTGATAAACTATTAAATCCCATAACTTGTGGTACCTAATCCACTTCTAGAGGTGTTAAACTGTGAAAAATAAAAAAGTACATCTTAGAATTGATGAGACATAGCAGCTAAATCAACAATTATCTTTTGAATTTACTAATCTCAAAAATAAAATCACTGTACACAGACCTAGTGGTTAGCTGGCTACAGGAAGATTTCAAAGGACTTCCAAACCAAATGGTACTGGCTTAAGAGCAAACTATACTTATGGAGATCACATAAAAAGTTAAAAGACACTGGAAAGGGGAAAGAAAACTCCACAAACTGAGAAAACTAGGTAAATGTCCTTTCTTTACAGTAGTTACGGCAAAATGACTTCATGAATGTGTCCCAAACTGGACTGAGTAAGGAAAGCAAGTAATTAGCCAAAGAGTATAGGACCTGACAAAATTTATCTAAAAGCCCTGTAATTTCTTTAAGTGACAGCATTATCTTCGCCATGTCACTTACTACTGTCTAAACTCCTGTAAAAGCCTGATCTTCCTCAAACAAATTCTCCATGTTTTCACATGGCGTCAGACTCTTCAGTTAGTCAAGCGTATGTAATAGAGCTCCATGGTCTAAGGCCTCCCACTCTGTGGAAAGGGCACGGCACAGACACACAGACAGACACAGTTAAGCGTGTGCACCACCCCCACCCGACACCCCCAGTCACCTGGATAAATTCCTCATTTCCTTTTCTGCCCATGTCTTCACCATTTTTCTAGGGTTCCCTTTACAGTAGCCACGACGGAACCTAGAGTAAGAAAACATGTGTTCCTTTAGTCTCTGCATTACACTATTTTAGCACTCTCAGAAAAAGGAATTCAAGAATCCGGACTCACCTAAATTCCCCGGTTACGTACTTATCACGATCTTTGAACACCAAAATAGAAGTTTTGTATATTTTGATTGCTCTGCTCTCTCCACTGGCTGTGCTGGCATAGTATACATTAGCCTAGTTTAACCAAAATCAAAGGAAATGAAGCATGTGTTAAGTAACTTCTGTCAGTTTTCCAGGTGATTCTAAGCTCAAAAGTAAACTGAAACAACATCTGTATCACTGCCATCTCTTGAAGGTGTGAATTAAAATATGAAACATTGTATCACAATTAATATACCTCCAGGTGGCATTCATATGCCACTGTGTTATGTTCTGGTCATTGGTGGGCCCCATATATCAGAATGGTTCCATAAAATTGTATTACCTACAGTGATGTCATAGACAGTTTTTCTACTACACAAAACTGCTGAACGACTCATTCCCCTGAATGTAGCCTATTGTTACATGAGGCATACATATATAGAAAAGTCCAATTTAAGTGTAATTGCTTTCACACATGTATCTCTAATGGTAATTTTCTTACATCTAATTAATTCCCACAGAATGAGTTGCTAATTGTGATGCTGTGAATGAGCTACATCTTTCACAGGCTCATGGATCTAAAAGCTCACTTCTTTTCCAGTACTGATGCAGCCATGGATCTCTGCTATGTCTCCTTTATCCAACATCTTGAATAAAATCATCCTTGTCCTGGGATCCAAAACCTGAAAAGAAATGTTTGGTTTTGTTGTTGTTTTTAAGTACAATCACGAAAACAAATCAGACAAATAAATTATAGAACAATAAAGTACATAACCAGGGTGATCAAGATGGTTCAGTGAATGAAGGTGCTTGCCACACAGAACCCACCCACATAAAGGTGGATGGGTGGAACCAACCCCATGCGTTTTTGACCTATGGCCTCCACATAGGCACCATCATGCACATACACACATTCTAGTTTGGTTTCTGTTGCTGTGATAAACACCATGACCAAAACAACTTGGGGAGGGAAAGGTTTATCTCATCTTACACTTCCAGAAAACAGTTCACCGCTGGGGGAAGTCAGGGCAGGAGCTCGATGTAGGAACTGAGGCAGAAACCATGGGGGAAAGCTGCTGACTGCCTTGCTTTCCAAAGATTGCCCAACTTGCTTGTTTATACAACCCAGGATTACTTGTTGAGGGGAGAGGGCACCACCCACAGTGGGCTGGCACACAGACTTGCCTAGAAAGCCAACCTGATGGGGGCAATCCCTCACTGGAGGTTCCTTTTCCCAGGTGACTCTAGTTTGTAGCAAGTGAACAAACGAACTAACATACAATAATAAGTTAACATTATAAATAAGACCTTTTATGTCCAGTGATTCATCAATTCCACAAACTAGACTGCAGGTTAGCTTCTACTTCCTTGGGGGTACAGGGCAGAGGGGTGCTTAAATCTTAAGTCAAGGAGCTATATGTCAAGAAGCTGCTATTTCAAAATGTGGAATTGTACATATACATATAGGTAGAGGAGAGCACAGGTAGGCAGCAATAATAATAATCCAAACCTTTTTTCTAAATCATTTTCTTCACATCAAAAATCTAGATCAGGCCGGGCGGTGGTGGCGCACGCCTTTAATCCCAGCACTCGGGAGGCAGAGCCAGACGGATCTCTGCGAGTTCAAGGCCAGCCTGGTCTACAGAGTTCCAGGAAAGGCGCAAAGCTACACAGAGAAACCCTGTCTCGAAAAACCAAAAAAAAAAAAAAAAAAAAATCTAGATCAGGTGACATACACCTTTAATCTCAGCACTCAGGAGGCAAGAGGCAGGCATATCTCTGAGGTTGAGGCCATCCTGGTCTAAACAGCAAGTTTCAGCCAGCAAGGACTACAAAGAGAATCTGTCTGTGTCTGTCTGTCTGTCTCTGTCTGTCTGTCTGTCTGTCTCTCTCTCTCTCTCTCTCTCTCTCTCTCTCTCACACACACACACACACTTCAATCACATCCTGCTGCCCATAAGAAATTAGGGACTAGCACCCCACCCCCTGCAAAGAATAAAGCACATGTAAGAAAGAGGTCTCCACAATTTGAAGGTATTGCCCTTTTTTCCTTTTCCCCTTATCTATATATGCCCCAGACACATGGCGGCTACTCAACCTATTTCACGGCACATATTCAACCTATTTAATGGGAAAGACCCTAGTCTGCTAGTCTCTGCCTTCCCAACCTGAGAAGGGGAAGCACTGATAGTAGCTTCAAGGGTTATGGCCAGACCATGGCTCTACCTTACCTAAGTGGTCCAATTATACAGCAAAATGCCACTCACTGAACTTTACTCAGGAGTAATTTTAGGTGAGATTAGCACCAAGCACCAAGGAAGCTAAAAGCAAGGCACAATGCAGAGGACAAAGGAATGATAATTTCAAACAAGACCATGCAGCACATGTCAAGCATACCTGTTCTACAGTTGCTCTGTCGGCCTTATCTTTAACTCGATACCTAAGCAAAAACAAAGGTAGTCAAAACTCAGTGAGAAGCCAGCATGAGACTTCTAAATGTAAACGACTCTGTGACAATTCTTAAGCAATTTTTCCTAAGAATTTTTCATCCTAATTGATATTCACTCAGTAAAACTCCATTTCTCTGAGCATGCAAGTCAAATCTCCTTAGCAGACATGTCCAATCTTTTGTTATTTCATTTTAAAGTTTTTATTTTTTTCCATTTATTATTCTTGTGTGTGAATGAAGTGTAGATAAGAGCATGCTACTCTGCATATGATGGTCAGAAGCCAAGTTTGGGAGTTGGTTCCCTCCTTCCACCATCAGGGATCAAACTCTGGTTGTAAACTTGTGTGACAAGCACTTTTACTGTCCCCTCCCCCCACCATCTCCCAGGACCCCTTTTGGTATTTCTACAGGACATGTCATCTACAAAGCTCACACTCGAGAACCATGTAATCAAGAAACAACAAAAACAACAGATCTCATGTTTTAAGTAAGTTTATAATTTCTTGTTGGACTTCATTTATTATTATCCTCAGTCACATGCACTCACATGAGCCCACAGCCACGCACATGCATGCGCGCACATACACACAAATACATATGTGTGCATATATAATGTTATGTATGTAATATTTAATACATTTCACATATGCATACAGAAAAAAGGGAGAGAGGGAGAGTGGATGGAGGAAGGAGGGAGACGGGGAAGTAGAGAGAGAGGGGAAGAGGAGAGGGAATAAGAATGTGTGTGTAAGAGGAAGTCTTTCTACCTTCTCGAGCACCTGGAGTACAGTGACAAGGGAAATACTGAGTGTGTTCATACTGTTCGTTAACTCTTTAATGTGGACGGACACTTGATTTGCTTCAGCTCATATAACTCAATCCAACACACTATCCTAAACTAACAAGGGTTCAACTACAAGGAGTCAGACAAGGTCAGTGAAATACCAAGTGACTAAGGTGTCACTTAGAAAGTAATTATCTCTGTGGACACAGCAATAAAACTGATTTTCATGTTCAGTTTTAACACTGCTATTGAATTAATGTTATTTCCTATACTGTAAAGATCATCCCAGTTATTAGCACATGAGAGAAGTCAGCCAGGTCTTAGTCTAAACTGGAATCTACAAACACTTATCTTTATGAAAACACATATATGGACTTCACAAGATTGTACTTTTACTACTTAAGACTCATTTAATATTTAGATTTACAAAAGTATACAAAAGCACACTCTACGCTAATAAATGAAAGCACATCAACATCCTTTGCAAAACAATTATGCTACTCAGTCAAGAAATTAGTCTCCACCAACTATGCTTATAATGAAAACATTACTTACGAGTCTGCTTCTTTTTGTCTAGTTTTTACGGTGACTTTGTTTATGACAGAATCAGTAACATTCAGTTTATCTAAAAGTACAAAAACTCACAATGTAAACAATACAGGAGGCAAAAAGACACTAATAGTCTCTGAACAGGGTACTTCACCCTCTCTCTTCCCCCCTTCTACATTTTTTTTTTTGGTTGTTGTTGTTTTTCAAGACAGGGTTTTTCTGTGTAGTTTTGGTGCCTGTCCTGGATCTTGCTCTGCAGACCAGGCTGGCCTCAAACTCACAGAGATCTGCCTGGCTCTGCCTCTTAAGTGCTGGGATTAAAGGCGTACACCACCACCCGCCCAGCCTATATTTTCTTAATAGAATTAAAATATATTTTACTTATGAGGCAAGCAATAAGTTAAGATATTGTCTTCATAATATGCATTTATAGCACTATAGGTGTGATTTTTTGAGCCGGAATTCTAAACTCTAGATAAAGACAATACTCAAAAACATTGGATCTACATATTAAATCTCAGATACTTACTATTTTGTACAATATAGATAACACAAGTGTCTGAATTCAAAGTTTAATTCTGCAAACTTCAGTTTCTTAAGTTAGATGTACATTATGATGACCGTGAAACACTTATATACATTAATCTGATATTTATGGACAGTGTACATGAAAGACACTGGGTAGGTTTAAAGAGTCAAGACAGTGCAAGAAAAAAATGATGGCCTTGCATTTTTAAAGCAGTATAATTCAAACTAGAGCTGGCTTTCAACTAAACCATTAACACCATCATAAAGTCTCTACCAAATGAAATAGCATTTTTAGGCTGTTTTAATTCAAAATCCAATGCAGAACAGGTAAGAATCAGAATGAGTATCTGAAACTTCATATTCCCACAACAGATGAAAACAAAGAACTAAGAAGGTGTGAATTATAATAACTTTAAGCCACTAAAAGTTATTTTTCTTCATTCAGCTCAATCATTGAGCCAAATACATTTACATCTTGAGCCAACAAAAATGCCTAACATTTCAGCATTTGGAAGAATCTCTTCACAGCCCAGTTAGGCAATGTTTTTTGTTTGCTTGTTTTTTCAAGACAGGGTTTCTCTGTGTAGCCCTGGCTGTTCTAAAACTTGCTCTATAGACCAGGCTGGCCTCGAATTCAGAGATCTGCCTGCCTCTGCCTCCCAAGTGCTGGGATTAAAGATGTGAGCCACCACCACCCAGGCTAGGCAATGTATCTTTTAAAAACTTACTTAGATTGATTTTATTTTCAAATTTTCTCAAGGACTTGTCAATTGGAGTAGACATTTTGGCTGAATTGTAGTTAGAAGGCTGTCGATTTGCCTGTAAGAAATTAGTTTAAAACAGGGTTAGTTGTAAATTCAAGCCTAAGGTTCACATTACGTTCTCTCTTCCCTTAGTTATTTTTTTTTATATTTTGGGGGGAGGGGCACCACACACATGGAGGTGAGAGGACAAATTTTAATTGCTGAGTTTCTCCTTCCACCCTGGGGGTCCCAGGAACAGCTCAGGTTGTCATGCTTGACACCAAGTGCCTTTACCTGCTGACCCGTCTCCCCCGCCCCAGTTCAGTTAGTTATGACTTGACACCATTACATACGGGAGCACACTAAAAAAAAAAAAACATTTTCTAAGACTTTTTTTTTAAGGTGTTTATAGCTGGAGAGACGACTCAGCAGTTAAGAGCACTGGCTGCTCTTCTAGAACGGGTTTGATTCCCAGTACCCACGTGGTAGCTCACAACTGTCCATAACTTCAGTCTAGGAGATCCAAAACCTTTTTCTGTTCTCCTCGGGCATTTCATCAACTGCATGCACATGGTGTACAGATACACTTATAAAAAATAAAAATAAAAAGAGGCATTTCTAAGAGAAGGTTAAGGTTACTGACTAGAACAGAGGTCCCATGTTATTCTCTTCAATGTATTTTTTGTTATTATGAATGTTAGATTTCTTTTTTATTTAATTAGTTTCTAGATTTGATACTTGAGAATATTCATTTACCTTCAAAGTGTTTAATGAAGAGCTAAAGCTAACATTAAATTCATTCTAGTAATTTTATTTTAAGCCTGACTCTCAAGAAAGGAAAAGGGGAAAGACAGCCTGAGGCTCAACACTTATATTGGTGCTCTGCATGTATGTATATGCATCGCATGGTGTTTGGTGCCCACAGAGGCCAGAAGAGGGCATTGGATCCCCTAGAACTGGAGTTATCTCCAGTTGTGAGCTGCCATGTAGTTGCTGGAAATTGAACCCAGGTCCTTTGCAAGAGCAACAAATGCTCTAAACCACTAAGCCATCTCTTCAGCCCCTTTAACCTTTAAAATAACTTTTGGCCTTGGGATATAGATCAGTAACACAATACTTGCCCTTGGTTTGATTCCTAAGACCACAATAAATAAAAATCAAACATGTTTCCTATCATATACATGTTTGATAATTGATTTGATTTTTGTCATGCTGGGATGCATGGCAGGCAAAGTGTTCCAACAATGCACTGTACCCACAACCTAATGATTTAATTGCTATAATCATCAGCAACCCAAAGTAACAACTAACATTAAGTCTATATACATCAGAACACAATCTATGCTGAAATTACCCGGTCTCACCAGTGACTCAGTGGAGGAGCCGCCAACCCGCGCCCCCCTCCCCCGCCCCCCCGAAAAAATAAAGTGGAGAACTAATGAGGAAGACACCTAACATCTGCCCCCCCACACAATATATATATATATATATACATATATATACATACACATATAAGCAGATTTACAGAATGACTCCATACCTGAGGGTTACTGCCTCCATTCTGGGTACAGCCCTTGGTGAGTTTTCCAGTTCCATCATCCCAGTACCAATCACTGTCATAATCATAGTTGTCTTCCTCATCGATCTCACCTTCGTCCTTCACCTCTGTCACATCATTCGGAAGGTTTTTAAGTAGGATGTCGTCCTTTGCTTGAATTGACTTCACTTCTACGCTTTCACTAGACATAAGAGTGTTCTGGCATGTTTATACACCCTCTAAGGGGAAAAACCATACACATACATACAATCCTAAAAATTCCCTTACATTTCCCAATCTGCTCCATCTTCCCCCTCACTTTTTGTTGTTATTGTTTTTGTTTTTTGATACATGGTTTCCCTGTGTAGTCCCAGATGTCCTGGAACTCATTTTGTAGACCAGGCTGACCTCCAATTCAGAGATCCTCCTATCTCTGCCTCCAGAGTGCTGGAATCAAGGAGTGCACCACCACACCCCATGCCAGGTTCCATTTTTATAAACTTAGTGCACCCCAAACAAAACACATTCTAGCAGATGTTCTGCGTAGCTCGTGCTCATGACCCTGGGGCTGCTTTCTGGGGCTCTAGTTCCCTCAAAGACAGAAGCATTCTCCATTCAAAGAGGTACCGTCAGGAAGTTAGCCACTGCCCTCCTGCAGGCAAATGCCAGCTCCTACAGTTCCCTTTCCTGTCCCTTTATGACCCAGGGTGGTCCTGGCATCCACTCTTATGTCCTCTGGGGAACTGTTCCACCCTTCTGCTGTAGCCCGCGCTCAATCCACACATTTGTCAATAATCTTTGTCACACTGTCTCCAAGTATCCCAGGAACATGCCAGCCATTTCTGATGGGTCTCTTCTAGAAACCTCACGTGTCTAAATGGAAGTTTAAGCCTCAGGCAAGGATTACCACTGGGAGGTTTACTGGATTGTTTGGTGAAGATGATTCACACGACTGAGGAAGCTTAAATAACTGTAAATTTAATGACAGGAGTGTTAGCAACCTCATGATGTCTGAAAACCACTGGCAGCATAGTGAAGCTGACCACAGCCAATTCCCAGAGAAGCTGGACATTCACTCTGGACACAGCAGCCCCGCTGAAGTACTAGGGTTGGCAGCCAGCTAACACCAAGGAGAACTTCTGGGTACCACCATGACAGGGGCTGTCACAATCGGCTGTTGCTTAATGGGTGCTATTCAAGGATTAGATTGTACCTCCCCACTTTGACTCATCAAGTACCTAAAAACTGCCACATCGCCTGCACTGAGACTGTGGCGTGTGTGTGTGTGTGTGTGTGTGTGTGTGTGTGTGTGTCTGTCTGTCTGTCTGTCTGTCTGTCTGTCGGAGTTGGGGGGGTATATGTCTTAACATCCACTGGCCATGGAATGTTAGATTTGGTTTCTCTCATAACATTTTATTTTGGTATCTGAAGACACTTCCTATTGTTCCCTGGCCTGTGTCTTCCGATAAGCAGCCAGCCAGTAATTGGGTTGTTGCTCCTCTAGACGTAATTGTCATTTTCCTCTTGACCATGTCAAGATTTGCTCTTTATCTTTGGCTTTCAATGCTTTGAAGATTTGCCTCAAGGAAATAGCTAGACAATATAATCCCCAGTGTAGTATTTAAGCACGAACTGCTGCTTCTTCCAGATACGATAGACAAAAGGTCTGCCAGGCAAAGAAGTTCACAGAACACAACCATAAATCTTAGGCATATATAAAAAGGGAGTATGTGTAGATAGCAGAGGGATTGGAGGCCGAGGAGCTCGGCAAAGGACGGGAGTCAGACAGTCACACTATAAAAACTCAGATGAGGGTCAGTTGCAGAAGACTTGCTTTGTAGCCCAGGCTGGCTTCAAACTCACAGAGATCCGCCTGCCTCTGCCTCCCAAGTGCTGGGATTAAAGGCGTGCACCATCACGGCCTTTTTTTTTTTTCTTCTTCTTTTTTTTTTTTGGTTTTTTTTTTTTTTTTTTTTGGTTTTTTTTCGAGACAGGGTTTCTCCGTGTAGCTTTGCACCTTTCCTGGAACTCACTTGGTAGCCCGGGCTGGCCTCGAACTCACAGAGATCTGCCTGGCTCTGTCTCCGGAGTGCTGGGATTAAAGGCGTGCGCCACTACCGCCCGGCTACATCACGGCCTTTTTAATGGGAACTTTTCCATCTTGACATTGCTACCTCAATATCATTCTATGATCTCAATTCTAGGAGCCATCATGTTTGAACCTGGTTTTTGTTTGTTTTAATTGGTTCTCTGTTCCACTCTTACTCTCCAAGAACATCTATGTAAATGACCAGTTCCTTTAATTCATAAATCAAACAGTATCTTAACTCCTCTCAGCCACTTGTAAGGGTCTACCTGGCTGGTCTCCCTTCTGCCTCAGTTCTCTCCATTGTGCTCTAGGCTCTGCCCTTTTGCTTTTGTTTTTACAGCCAAGAGGAATCAACTATAGGGCCTTCACTTGTCCACTCGGTCACACATGCTGTTTCTCCTCTGATTCTTCTGGCCATTTAATCTGGACTTCTTGTGGTTTTAGTATTGGAAATAGAATCAGAGCCCTATCTGTGGTAGGCAAGCGTTCTCCTGAGCTATTAAATCTGGCTCTTTCCTGCTCAATGCATTCCATTTACACTATCTGCTTCTGCCCTCCTTTCCAAATAGACAGTAGAGACTTGACTTATCTTACTCATCACTATACCTCCAGTGGAAGACAAAAATCTGCTGAGTGTTATGTGGAACCCTGTATGTAGCGGGGGGAAAAGGCTTGTGTTTCTCAACTATCCCCAACTCTGCTTCTCTGCTGATCACTCTGGGAACCCAGACTCCCTTGACAGGTAGCTTTCACGACCTGCCCAGCTATAAGGACAGACCCTGGGAAAACCACAGCCCAAACCAGTCAGGCGTCAGCTCCCCGGGAGGAATGCGGAGCTGGCGGAATCTGAGCAGTCCGTGTGTGGTCTCCAGCAGCCTACCTGTCGGAGGAATCCGCGTCGTCGAACTGCCCGGGGACCACCGCGACCATCCTGTCCCGACTGCAGTCCATGACAAGGGGGGGCGGAAGAGACGGGTTTTCACCTGGCGAACCCAACCGCGTCTTCGCGATTCCCGCCTCACACGAATCGCTCGGCAATCGCCAGGCGCAAAGCAGCAACCAGGCGCCACGGAGTATCAGGATACACGATTTCTACAAACACCAGCACAGACAGACCGGAAGTTCAATGCCGGAAGTGCGTCACTAGAAGTTCCGCTCCAGGCCGTAGTGCCCTCCAGGCGCATGTGCGTTACGGTGGCCGGGAAAGGCCAATCCGCGGTGCGATGTGGGGGTGTGGTGTTGATTGCAGGACCGGACGTGCGGTGTCCGTTCTTCCCCAGCCTTTTCATTCTTGCTCCAACATGGTGTTTCCCGCCTCAGAAAGTCAGGCCTGTTATTCCCCGGCTGCTCTTGAAGACTTGCGTCCGTTGACCTCCTTCCTCCGGACAGCAGTGAGGTCCAGAGGACGTCACACTGGGACGTTCGAGCTCCCTGCGACACAGCCAGTTGGAGACAGCCCTCGGTGGGGACGGTTGGAAGGTGTTCTCGCTCCCGCGGAGCCGGTGTGCAGGAGGAAACGCGGAGTCCTTAGCCTGGGTCAGAGAAGCTCTATGGATCATGGAAGTGAGCACAGTTTTGCGCCCTAGACACGTTGGTGCGTTGTTTTGAGATGCAAGTGAAACAAGTGTGTTGTTTTTTTAAGTTGGTGTTAGTCCACTGAAATCCTAAAGTCAAAGTTTTGCGTTTGGCAGGAACTCTCGTGACATCTGTCACTGCCTCCCCCCCCCCCCCCCCGTTAATGTTTAAATGTTAGGTACGACCGCTTGCGCGCGCGTGTGTGTACGCCAGCACATGTGTGAAGTTCAGAGAACAAGAGTCTTGGCGGCGCCTTCCACCTTGGGCTCCAGGAACCGAGCTCAGGTCATCAGAGCTTTTCCCTGTTTAGCTCTCTCACAGGCCCTTACTACCTATCTTAAATGGCCTTACTACCTATCCCAAGTCGTGGGGTGGTGGTGAGGGTGCACGCCGTTAATCCCAGAGCTCTGGAGGCAGAGGCAGGCGGATCTCTTGAGTTCCAAGCCAGGCTGGTCTGCCTAGCTAGTTCCAGGACATCCAGGGCCACACAGAGAAACCCTGTTTCTGAAAAAGAAACAAACAAACAAAAATAACAGTTTTACAGCTAATGGCTAACCGAACATTTGAATAAGTATTTTTAAAAATCTAACAAATTTTCTAGGGACCGAAGTGAAAGATGGAAACGAAGTCCTATTTTTTTTTTTTTTTTTTTTAGTAAATTGGCAGATTGTACAGAGCCATTGGAGGCATGAACAAACCTTTAAAAATGTAATTAGAGCAGATGGCTAAGTGGTTAAGAACATGGGAGTTTGGTTCCCAACACCCAATTGGGCCACTAACAACTGCTGTAACACTAGTTCCAGGTAGAAGTATAATTGCAAGTCACAGGTCCATGGAAAAGAAAAACGTTTTGCATTTGGAAAACGACTTATGAGTTCCAGGACAGGCTCCAAAGCTACACAGAGAAACCCTGTCTCGAAACCACCACCACCTCCAGAAAAATGTGTAATGAATCTGATGATTGTCAGGCAATATTCACCCCTGATAACATCACACAGCTTGTATTGTGCACGCCATTGTACCAACCTACAACAACAAACACTGCCTGAAATTCCTCTGTTCAGATTTGAGACTTACATGTTATGAACTGCAGTGTTTCTACTGTGCCTGCAGTTTCCTAGTCTTATAGAAATAATCGTTTCATTACAGAAAACAGACTTAATATTTTTCTACTGTCATTCTTCGGCATACAGATATCAAAGTAGTATATCTTTGCATGGTATTATGTCAGATAAACAAACATCTGATTAATATGTAAATTTGCTTTCCTATTTAACAAATGGTAAAATTACTTGTATACCAAAAATTGTTTTAAAATAAATATCTTTATGATTTGTTATCAGTGTTTTATTTACATGTAGTTTCACAGAAAAAAAGACTGAGCAGAAAAAGTTTTTTTTTTAAGCTGTGGTCTAATCTACACCACTTGATGTAGAAAGAGGAGACTATAAATATGAAAATTAGGGCCTAAAAAGATGGGCTCAGGCATTATTACATACTGTCATATGTAATACATACACAGTGCATACTGCTCTTACAAAGGACCTGAGTATGGATCTCGGCACCCAAGTCAGGTGGTCCACAACTTCTGTAACTCTATTTCTAGGGGATCTGACACCACTGGCCTCCAAGGACACATTGAATCACAAGCACATACCCACAAAGAGATTCAAACACATACACATAATTAAAAGTAAATCTTTAAGAATAAAAGGAAAGTTAGTAGGGCCAGGGAAAGAGGAGGGCTGACATGGGACAACACTGCTTGAAAAGCTGTAAATAAAGTCCTTGCCAGACAATTATAATGCATAAATGGAAAATTAGTAATGTTGTTTGTTTTTGCTCTTTTGGGGGCCCACTACCCAGCTCCCAAATAAATCACACACAGAGGTTTATACTTAATTATCAATGCCCAGCCTTAGCTTGGCTTGTTTCTTGCCAGCTTTCCTTGACTTTAACTTATCCCACCTACCTTTTGCCTCTGGGATTTTCTCATTCTCTTGCTTCTGTAAATCTTACTCTCTCTCCATGGCTTGCTGTGTAGCTGGGTGGCTGGACCCTGGAGTCCTCCTCCTTCTCTGGCTACTTCTTTCCTCCCAGATTTCTCCCTCTATTTATTCTCTCTGCCTGCCTGCCCACCCTATCCTTTCTTCTGCCTTGCCATCGGCCGTTCAGTTCTTTATTAGACCATCAGGTGTTTTAGACAGACTCAGTAACAACAGCTTCACAGAGTTAAACAAATGCAACATAAATGAAAGTAATACACCTTAAAATAATATTCTACAACATAGTAACACCCTTTAAGTAGTAGTGAAGACTGAACAGTACCCCAATAGTGATGAATTATGAGAAAGCAATGCAAAGGCTAATGAAACAGAAAACTTAAAACCAGATGGACGGTGTGCTGGCTTTTGTCAGCTTGATACAAACTAGTCATATAGGAAAAGGAAACCTCAAATTGGGGACTTACCTCCATCAGATTGATCTGTGGGCATTTTCTTACTTATTGATGATGAATGGTCCAGCCTACTGTGGTCTGTGCCATCCCTGCGCTGGTGGGCCCGAGTACTGGAAAAAAAAATTGTAGCTGACCAAACCACTATGTTCCTTCCTCTTCCTACCTCTGCTCCTACTCGAGTTCCTGCTCAGAGTTCTGAAATGATGTACTGTGAACCAGATGTATTTGCCAGTTGTTTTTGGTTGTGGTATTTAGTCACAGCAAAAGAAAGCAAGCTAAGGAAGGGTCTAGGAGAAGCACGGGCTCGGAGAGATGACTGGGATGGTAGGAAGCATCCCTTTGTAGGGAAATGAGCCTGATCTGCGAGAACAGGGAGTAGGAGTGGGTAAATGATGTGGGTGTGGGATGTGAAATGCCTCCAAGGACAACAAGAAGAATTTGGACTCTGGTTGGACCTACTTACCCTATCTCCTGACAGATGTGTATGTTATTAGATCAGCAGAGATGCAATGGACTGGAACGTGGATTATGGACAAATATTATAAAGGAAAAATGGGCATAATTTGGTGACAGTAGCCGTGGGTGATTCAGGACTTCTAAGACGCCTCCAATTTTTCAGACACTTGCCCAACATACTGAAAGTAAGCCAAAACAAGTGGAAACCAAGGCTGAATGTCATGGTGGCACCATATAATCTCAGCAGTCAGAAGGCTGAGACAGGAGGATTGCCATGAACATAAGGCAGCCCAGGCTACATAGTAGCAAGACCCTGTGTGTGTTGGGGGAGGGGGAACAAAGCAAACAAACAAACAAAAAAAAAAAAAACAATTTGAACCCCTGTCGATTGAGAGAACAGGTGTGGTTTGGAAAAACTGTACAGTGTTGGATTTGACTTAATGATATAGAAGGCATCAAGCAGAAATGCAGGATTTTATGAAAACTAAAAAGCTTCTGCTAGTATTTTGGAAGTAACACTTTGTAGGACAGTATTGGATAGACGCTACACACATTGGCTTGTTTTGGTCAAATCACTACTGCCAGACCAAATCAGAAAATGATGTTTTAAAATCTGGAGTAGTGAACTTTACTAATTTTTAAAAATTATTATTTTAAGTGTATGGAAGTTTTGCCTGCATTTATGTCTTTGTACCACATGTGTGCAATGCCCAAAGAGACCAGAAGAGGTGTCAGATCCTGCAGAACTGGAGTTACAAACAGTTGTAAGCTGCAGTGCAGGTGCTGGGAATTGAACCCAGGTCCTCTGAAAGAGAAGCCAGTGCTCTTAACTGCTGAGCCATCTCTCCAGCCCCCTTATTGCTTTCTTATTGTGAAGAGGAAAGTCGTTGCACATAGTGGTTGACATTAAAAGTGTGTCTTTCTCTTTTGTTTGCTTGTTTCTAAGAGGCCTTCCTTCCATCATTCGGCAGTTAGAAATAAGGACTCTCAAACGTTTTGGTCATCATCCCTGGCAGTGTAAAAAAAGGGGGGGAGCTATTATCATCATCTTCAGATCCTGTATGTTTTGAAGTAGATATTTTCCATGAAAATTTAGAAAGTCTGTCAGCGTTGGAAACAATACACATCAGTGGTCCTTCTCAAGACATCTCTGACTCAGACTCACTCTTCTGTATAGAAGCCAGCTCCATTGCTTCACTCTTGCCTCAGGTTGCGCTCTGCAGTCAGAAGTTTGAGGGGATAACCCAGATTGCTCTCACGTGAACATGTTTTTTTCAAAATTATGAGGGATGGTAAAAGATCTCCCGTAGACACAGAAGGAAGGGGCGTGCAAGGCCTGGTTTTCTTAGTCTTGGTGTGCAATGGGTGGTGCAGTTTTACACATGCTAAAACAAATCCTTTCTGCTCATGAAGTTCCAGGCGTGCAGCTAGGGGACATGGCTACAGCTCGGTCACAAAGAGGATGAGAGCCTAAACAAGGGCCTGTCTCCTGCTCTAGTGCATCTTCCACTGTGTCTGTCTGCAAATGAGTAGCTGTTGTGCAAGACATTGACAGCATCCATCCTGTATCTTCATGAGAGGTCCTAGTGTCCTTTCTCATGAAATAAAAGACATCATGATGTCTCAAGATCTTCAAGAATGTTGAGTTTTGTAGACTGTAGTGGGTGGTTGTTTGAGCAATGCCCTGAAGCATCGCCCCTAGTGAGGTAGCAGGTAATTGTTAACACCTGCCTATGACCTTAAGGTACATGCCTCTGGGGTGTGCCCACTTGGGGGACCCTTAAGACCTGGGATGCACACTACCTGGTGGCAGCATGGACCCAAAGTTGGTAGGGTAAGTGTGACTCTCCTGGGTACCTCTGCCATCTTGGGAATCTAAAGTGGGAGGAATCAGCAGCCAGGGCTGCCACTTTAATCTTAGCCATACTGCAGTTTGCAATGATCAGAAAAAGATTATAGATACACAAAAGACATATTCAGATGGAATAAACCTCTAAATGGTTTACATTGTGTGTGTATATATATATAGACTTGCAAGAGAGAGGAAAAGGAGGATAGACAGTTATATAAAGAA